CTTAAACAAGTTATTTAACCTTTCTGAAACTTGGCTGCTTTGTCAGCCTTAACGTGGAAATAATAATTCCTACCCAATGGATTGTGGGAAGGATTCTACGAGACTGTGTGTGTGTGTGTGTGTGTGTGTGTGTGTGTATAAGCATCTTCTCGTTCGGCTCATTTTCCATGATCCTCTTCCATAAATGTTAGTTACTCTCCCCTGTGCTTCTTATCCTTTGTTTTAGGGAAGAAACTAGGACAGTCAGCCTTGCTGTAGCTCTCCTAAAAAAGACACATGGCCTGAAGCGAAAGGTAGTTCAGAAGCATACATTAGTGAGATGAACCCCATAGCAGGGCAGTGAGTAACACCGTTACATAACTTCTGCAGATCACCAGGCAGAGCAGCGAACGTGGTTTGGCGTGGCTGACCGCTAAAATAACAAGGCAGCTTCCAGCCCCAGCTTGAGTCGGGGAGTCCTGACAAAGCTGCCAGTCAGAACCCGGGGTGAATCCATGGCCCCGGGAGCGCTGGTGTTTCATCTGACTCAGGCATGTTGTAAATCTGCTTCAGTGGAAAAAACAAAAGCGATTTCTCTCTGGCCGGTCCCCTACATAACTGTCCCCGTGGGACCCAAAGCAGCTTTCCTTCCCTCAAAAAATCCTTCATCGTGTCTCCCGAATATGAGTTTTCCAGGCAGCTGCACAGATGAGAAGCAGGGAGAGATGAGGGAGAGGTGAAGGAGAACAGACATGTACTGAGGATGTGACTGTTGAGTGAAGGGCCAAGATGTGTCTTCCACATGTTTCCTAAAACGTTTAGACTTTCCCAGGGCTCTATCCTTGCCCTGATGAATGTTTGTTTTTCTATATTTTATTGATTTTTTTTACAGTGAGGAAGAGAGAGGGAGAGTCAGAAACATCGATGAGAGAGAATCATCAATCAGCTGCCTCCTGCACACCCCCCACTGGGGATGTGCCCGCAACCAAGGCACATGTCCCTGGCCGGAATCGAACCTGGGACCTTTCAGTCTGCAGGCCGAAGTTCTACCCACTAAGCCAAACCAGTTTCGGCCTGATGAATGTTTTTAACACTGAGATGGTGAGGAACACAGAAGGCAACCCTACCAATTTTTTGTTTGTTTGTTTGTTTTTGTTTTTGTTTTTGTTATGATACCAAGGTAAAAGGGAGTTTGGGGACAGAATTACAATTTTTAAATTATTTTGGCAGGTTCTGAGTTGACCACAGCAAGCTGTAATTTAATAGAGGTGATGTTAAAACCTGTACTTCAGAATCAAAAGCAACGTACAGGTTAGGGAAGGTTTAGATTGAGAAGGTTTTTTTTTTTAATGAAAAAAAAATATATAAGGATTTTATTTGACTATAGAAAGGTATGATTCAACAGTACAATATGGTTGTAAAAAAGAGGTTACCAGAGGGACCTGAAAAAAGAGAATCTTTCTACCTTACATAATTTGCATTAGCAAGACAATACTTGGTGTGCTGTATTCATGTTGGGGCCAAATTTAAGAAAGATATTGATAAGTTGGAATTGGTCATGAAGGGAAAGAAGGAAAAAGAAGGATCAAATTTTTAAAAAAATCCAAAAACTGCATTCTTTAAAGAATGGTCGAAGGATAATAAAGCTATTTAGCTGACTTTTACAGTTACCATATGGAAGAGGAATAAACATCTATTTTGCTCTGAAAGACAGAAATGAGATTAATGAGAGAGAGAGAGAGTTCATGGAAACAGATTTTGGCTCAGTAGAAGGGAAACTTTTCAAATAATTAGAGCAGTTCATTGAAAAAGGACTATTTTATTTAAATTGTGAGCTTCCTGTCACTGGAAATATTCAAGCGAAGGCCAGATGAGTGTCCGTCTGGGATTCTGAAGGCTCCCAGCATTGAATGAGAGCTTGGAGTAGGTGACCTTTAAGATCGCTTCTAACTCCCAGGGCCTATAATTTAAGTAAGCGTGAATGCCAAGGTCACTGATGACACGCCAGAGCCACGTTTTCAGCTCTTGGCTCCAATTCTGACCAGCTGTGTGACCTTCTGCTAATAACCGAACCATTTCTTCTTCCAGTTTCCTCATCCATAACATGAGGGAGCTGGGTGGAATGATGTCTGGGTTCTCCCTGGCACTTCTGTCCCCTGAAGCATCCTCCTAATCACAGTGTGTTGGGGAAGTGGAGTTGGAGCTGACACCTGCCATTTGATGAAGTCCATTTGCAGGGAGAAGGCTTTCCAAGACCCAAAACCATGGTTGACCGTGGGGCCACAGAGCTGAAATCTCAATTGCCTGTTGGCAGCAGAGCGGGCGATTGTGGTCCTAGAATTTGTTCCCGTGAGACCTGTGGCAGGAAGTCGATCAAATAACTGGTAATCTGGTTCCTCTCTAGCACCTGTGCTTTCTGGCCGAGGTCAGCAACGCCTTTGCAAACAACTTGAGAGAAATGGAGATCGTATTACCATCGCAAATGTAGTTCTATTTCGCAAAGCTAACCTTTGTTCTCTATTTCCTCTGTGATCTGGCTGTCACTATTGAGCTTTGTTTAGAATCCTAAGAGCCAGTATCCATAAAGCAACTTGCCACGTGACAGAGACTGTTCTTAAAGTTTTATATAAATTAATTTAGTCAGTTGATAAGCTGAAAATCTAATGACAAAGCAGTAGATTAGATCCTTTCCCCTATGGTAAAGGAGTAGCTAAGGTCCATTCAAGTCTGTCTTCATGGTAAAGAGTCTAGAATTCAGATCCACACCCTCATTCTTTTAAGGTTCAGTGCTGATGTTCAATGACTATAATTTCCTCTGTGATCCATTTAATTAGCAATACTTCCCTTCTCTGGCTATAGTAAGGTGTCGTAGCCTCCACTGCTGCCACATTCTAATTCTTCCATCTGTTCTTTGACTATTCTCTGACCACACATTATTGTCTCAAATCCCATTTATTCAGTTATTCTCTCCCCCCACCCCCCCAAAAAAAAAAAATCTCTAAAAATGGGAGTGTCATCATTTGCTCTGACATAGATATAAAATGTCTGGACAGGCCCTGGACAGATAGCGAACTTGGTTAGTGTCATCCCACCAAGATTGTGGGTTCAATCCTTAGTCAGGACACATACAGGAGGCAACTAACCAATGAATGCAAAAATGAGAGAAACAACAAATATATATATCTTTCTCTCTCAAATCAATAAATTAAAAAAAAAAACTTTTTAAGTGTGGACAGGATTTCAAATACCTCCTCTTACTGAGATCAGCAGGGGAAGAAATAAGTAAATTTATGTTTTTTGTAAGGACGGAAGAATTTAAAACTCCATTCCCAGGCTCTCGGGTCTGGCAATACTCACTCCATCCAAGCACCACATTTTGTTCCATCTTTTTGTTTCCTTAGGTTGGGAATGAAAACAGCTGTTAGAAATAAGAGCACATGAGTCAATCTTGAATCTCAATGTGATAATTACAGTTTCCCTCTTCGTTGGTTGAGCCCCTCCCAGTGTACTGAGCCCGCATCACAGCCCCCTTGCTGTCAGTTTTATGCCAAGACCTTAACTGTTGTTTTCCAGGCCTTTAAGATTAAACACTAAATCGATTGCCAAACCAGAAAAAATAACAAGGAAGAAAATACTTCAATTTAAAAACTTGATCCTTAGGTCATAGCTTTTTTTTTTTTTTTTCTGATTTAGATTTTGACCAAAATCTCTATGTTGATATAAGAAATGTTAGTTATTGGTTCACATTTTTTGAAGTGGAGCTTCTGGTCTTCTTGGTACCCTCACTATGAAGAATTTTTCTTGGGATTTTTCTTTTCCCTCCCTTCCTTCCTTCCTTCCTTCCTTCCTTCCTTCCTTCCTTCCTTCCTTCCTTCCTTCCTTCCTTCCTTCCTCCCTTCCTCTCTTTCTTTCTCTCTTCCTCTCTTTCTTTCTTTCTTTCTTTCTTTCTTTCTTTCTTTCTTTCTTTCTTTCTTTCTTTCTTTCTTTCTTTCTTTCATCCTCACCCAAGGATATGTTGTTGGCTTTTTATTGATTTTAAAATGAGAGAGACAGAGAGAGAGAGAGAGAGAGAGACAGAGAGAGAGAGAGACAGAGAGACAGAGAGACAGAGAGAGAGAGAAACGTGGATCAGGATGATGCTCTAACCAACTGAGTCACCCCGTCAGGGCCTGCTTGGACTCTTTATAGAGGCGATGCCTTGAATTTCCCACATTCCTGAGGCTTAGAACCTAATAAGCCAATCTCAAAAGAGACATAGACAACCTATTAATTGACTGTCACCTTTCAGAGCAGAGGGTCCTCTTTTAGTTCTGTCCAGTCCCCGTATCAGTCACTCAGTCCTTGACTCTCTAAGGCTCAGAAAGTCCCCGTGAATCAGCTGACCAATCTAGGATTGCCCTGCAAATGGAGAACACATTGTGACCTCCACAGGGGGAAGCAGGAGGCAAGAAAGTAGGCCCTTTGAATTGCTTCACTTTGCCCACTTTATTTCTCCTTCTACAATTTGATTTCTTTGTTGTGAGATGTTATTATTTTTATAATTCATGTCCCTGCTAAGATATTTATAATCCTGTTATCATTGTGGACAAGAGCTGGTTTTATGTGTTGAAAATTGTTTTGGTCAGTTTGGAGTGCTATCACAAAAATACCATAGTCTTGGAAGTCCAAGATAAGGTAGTGTACAGACAGCAGGTGCCTAGGTGCCTGAGACAGGGAAGCAATGAGAGAGAGAGAGAGAGAGAGAGAGAGAGAGAGAGAGAGAGAGAGAGAGAGCCACTTCTAGTTCTAACCAGTACACTCAGTAATTGATAGAATTAATCAGCTAGTCTGCAGAGCAAGTAATGTGATCTGCACCTGCAAATGAACTCTGAATTCAGTACTTGCTTAATTTTTCTGTGTCCCATAATTCCGCTCCTTATCATATTCAGGTAGTGCTGGGTTTCTGAGCCATTGCGCTTGAAGAACCACGGACAGATGTGAGATATTTTTCTTTGCTAAAGGCTCTTACCTCTTTCTCTTAGATTACATGAAGCAGACCACGTTCGAAGCCCAAGCCTTTTTGGAAGCCGTGCAGTTCTTCCGGCAGGAGAAAGGTCACTACGGCTCCTGGGAAATGATGGCTGGGGATGAAATCCAGGTAACACGGAGCCCAGGATTTGGGATCTGTTTCTCTGTCTGGGAGGCGGGAGGCCAGGATCGTAATGAACAGTCAAACGAAGAACATTGTAAGAATGGGAAGGTGTGGAACCAAAGACCATTTCTCTCATTGTCTAGAAGCTTTGGGTCCACACCCACTCCAAAGGCCAACAGACCAGACATGAGCTGGCAGCCCCGAACTCCAAGGGCCATTGGAAGAACTGCTTCTACTTTTTTCTATAAAATGATTATCCTTTTAAAATATACATATATTTTATTGATTTTTTACAGAGAGGAAGGGAGAGGGATAGAGAGTTAGAACATCGATGAGAGAGAAACATCGATCAGCTGCCTCCTGCACACCCCCTACTGGGGATGTGCCCACAACCAAGGTACATGCCCTTGACGGGAATCGAACTTGGGACACTTCAGTCCACAGGCCGGCGCTAAAATGATTTTTCTTTCAGATGACCTGCTTCCAGAGTCGAAGCAAATGTGAACAGCATGGTTGGGTGCAAAGTGTGTGGTGGGGATTTCGGGCAGCAGACTTGGGTTAGTTAAATCTTGCCAAGTTCTTTAACCTCTTTCCATCTCAGGTGTCTCTTCTGAAAGAAAGATAATGTTTGCCTTCCGGGGTTGTAAGAATTAAATGAGATGCTTCGGGAAAGTATTTGGCACGCAGTTGTCTTTATCTTTTAAATGACTTATAAATGAAGTAATTAAAAGAGACACACTGTAAAAGCATGGGACAGTTTTCCTGTATGTTTCTAGCTTGCCATTCTCGGTGGTCCAGTATAATTTTCCATGACTTTAATGAAATTAACTTGGTCCCTGGAGCTTTGTTACAAATCTCCAAGGCAACCATGCTTCATGACGGGAGCCCATCCTCCAGGCGGACGCCAATCACAGGGCTGATTCAGCAGGAAGAGGAGGCTGGACATGGGCCTCACTTAACGAGAGGCACACAGAGTCCATGAGTGGTTTTCTTTCATTTCCCCTCATCTCCCAGAGGTGCCTCTTTTGGGAGCCAGTAAAATTTGTTAGTAGGGAGCAATATTTGGAAGACGCCAGATGGTGCCCTGCCTTTGTATAGTCATGAAACATCCAAAGCTGGAAACTCTTTCACATGAAGATGGAACTGTTATTTTTGCTTTACCATGTTACTCCATATCTTCTCTTCTTCTTCTGATGGATTCTAAATTATATGTATATATATATATATATATATATATATATATATATATATAACGACTTCAGAGAGGAAGAGAGAGGGAGAGATAGAAACATCAATGATGAGAGAGAATAATTGATCAGCTGCCTCCTGTATGCCTGCTACTGAGGATTGAGCCCACAACCGGGGCATGTGCCCTGACTGGGAATTAAACCGTGGCCTCCTGGTTCCTAAGTCCACACTGGCCGGGCTACATTTTTTATTCCCCACCCTGAGATTATTCAACAACTTTCACCGATTCTTGGTTTCTGACATCCTTTATAGATCTGAGAGGATTTAGGACCAACCATACGTATGCCAAAAAAGAAAATAAAAGCACAAGGGGAGGCTGAGGTATTTGACCCTGATTGGTCTGTCATACGAACAACCATATTGAATAAATGCGCCAATGGTAAAGTGCCCCTGTGCAATCCTTTTTTATGTCACATCCTAATTCTAACTGTTCATCTTAACCAATCTCATGAGGTGGGAAGAGCAGCTACTATTATTTCCATTTTGTAAATGAGGACATTGAGGGAGGCCTATAGCACTTAAGTGACTTGCCCGGTTTTACTCATTCAACCACTGTGGAGCTACCATATGCCCGGCGCTCTGCTGGGTGCCAGCGATCCAGAGATGGGCAAAGCAGAACGGGCCCTGTCCTGTGGAGCTGATGGATTCGGGGTCCCCTGCTTGGGGGACCATGGCCAAGGAAATGACAGCTTCCGACTCCTTAGCCAGCGCAAGATCAGCCCCAGCCGTGGGAATAGACTAACTCACACCATTACTGAGCTCCTTGCTTCAGGCTGTGCCCACTTGCTTCATTTTTTTTCTTTCATCTCTGCAATCTCACGTCCGTTCACCTTCCTTCCCTATGCCCCTGCGAGCAGGCATGTCTAAGTCCTTCCTGTGGGTTGCAGATTGAGTCTGTTGTGTCTGCTGCTGTTGACTTCCAGCTTTGTGCTTTGCGATATGTGCAAAGTGCTCTAGGGCGTGAGGGAGCTAAATGACTCATCCCCTGCCCTCTCACGGAGGCAGGACCTACCTGGAAACATCCAGAGAACGGGGTGGCCTTAGCAGTGTGGGTGGGTACTCGTGTGGGGCTGTCCATATATGGGCATCTTAAAGCACCCGCAGAGAGCAGTCACAGGAAGGTGCTAACGTGGAAGCATAGACATACCCTATGTGGAAAAACCAAACCAATGAGAAACCCGAGAAGAGGTCAGTAAAAGCTGGAGTTATTGGGTGACCCAACAAGTCTTGCTTCCCCCCAAGAATCTGAGCATCTGGGGTGAGGTCATAGATTCGTAAAACATGAGTGTTGGAGGGGAATTTCCAGATCGTTTGTCCCAGACCCTCCAGGAGAGAGAAAGAACCTCCAGAGATGATAGTTGGCAGAAGCCACAAAGCCACCCTGTGACAGGAATGCCTTTTGAGCCGTGTCAGGCTATCCCCGGAGAAGCCGGTGAGAGGTAATGGCTTCCAGAACGTTCCTGGGTGGGGCCTGCTGAGGGTAAGCTGCACTATAAGCTCTTCTACACGGAGCTGCAGCAATGTCTGTCCTCAGACTCACAGAAAAAAAGAGGTCAGGGGCCCGAAGCAGCTGCCCAGCAGGTGAAGGATGTGGTGTGGCATTCTGGGTTGGAGAATGTGACATCTTTTGTTTAAAGCACTGGGCTTATTGGCATCGCTTCCACTAAGAACTTAATCATAAAATTGTTCTAACCCCCTCGGCCCTGGGGGCCCGTATTCGTATTTCCATAGTTGTTACACTGTTATCTTCACAGCCATGACTCACACAACAAGCTTGGCAGGTCCTCGTGGCCATGGTTGTTTTAGGCAAGTGTCCAGGCAAAGCAGATCTTTCAGAATAACTTGCCTGACAGACTCTGAACACAGAATATTAATATTGACAAAAAATACAAGAGCCCCCCCACCCCCCCTTATCTGTGGTTTTGTTTTCCAAAGTTTCAGATACCTGTGGTCAACCATGGTCTGATACTGAATGGAAAGTTCCAGAAATAAACAGTTCAGCCAGTGTGGCTCAGTGGTTGAGCATGGACCGATGCATCAGGAGGTCAGGGCTCAATTCTTGGTCAAGGCAGTCAGGGCACATGCCGGAGTTGCTGGCTCCATCCCCAGGAGGACTTGTACAGAAGGCAACCAATAAATGATTCTCTTCATTAAAGTTTATATCTCTCTCTCCTTCTCCCTTCCTCTCTGAAATCAATTAATAAAACATACAAGAAAGAAAGAAAAAAAATGAAAGAAAGAGGAAGGAAGAAAGAAAAAAAAGAAAGAAGAATTAAATAATCCATAAATTTTAAGTTGTGCACCATTCTGAGGAGCACGATAAAATCTCTCACAGCCCTGCTTCATTCTGCCTGGGATGTGAGTCATCCTTTTGTCCACCGGACCCACACTATGCACGCCACGCGCCCATTAGTCATGTAGTCGCCCCCTCCGTTATCAGATTAGTTATCAGAGAGAGAGATGAGAGAGAGACCACATTCACGTAAACTTTTATTACAGTATTTTATAATAACTGTTCTATTGTATGATTAGTGATTGTTATTAATTTCTTACCATGCCTAATTTGTAAATGAACTTGATCACAGCTCTGTACACATTGGAAAAGACCTACTGTATCCAGGATTGGGTGCTACGTCCAGTTTCAGGCATCCACTAGGCGTCCTGGAATGTAGCCCTCCCCATAAGGAGGGACCACCAGTCTATCTGCGCACCAGTAAATGTGTTTTCTACTTGTCAGCATCAGTGTATCGGGTTAAGCATTTTGCAGAATGTAAGGGTTTTGTTGTTTGGGATATTTATTATTTGCCTTGAAATGATCAGTGGGCCCGAGAAAGCAGCATTGTCACAGGATAGGGTGGCTAAAATACAAGGAAACTACCTGCATTGTTTAGGCCTTCTCCGTAGGGTTCAGGGTTAGAGGGAGAGATACAGTTGGGCTCCGCTCCCAGAGGCTCTGCCCTGCCCTGCCCTGTGGCCATCCCCTCGACCCCTGCCCTGGCGACTCCCATACCCTCCTTCTCCCCCAGATATACTTCCTTTTCAAGTGGAGAAGTTATAAAATAGAACCAAATTTCTTGGAACATTACACGGGAAAGACAAAAAGAAAACTCTAAGCCCACCCCAATGGGACATTCTTTTACCTTATAACACTTCCCCTTTCAAGCTGATGTGCTGACTGACATCTCTGCAGAACTTTGCAATCTGTGCAAAAGGATGAATCAGGGCAATTAATATCGTTAGGGCAATTATCTTGCAGTTGACGCTTTTCAGCTGAGGCAAGAGTTCCCACCAATTTTAAGGTCTGGCTTCAGTCTTCTCATGCTCTTAGCTCACTCGCCCCATGACACAGTCATCACTCTTGGGCAGATGTGTTTCAAACAAGAACTGACTCCATGTGAGCAGGTGGGGCAGGAGAGGTCCATGGATCATGAATTACCAACTTGAATCTGACTGTTGGATCTGTGGCTTCCATGGAGCTTGCACAGGTTAAGTTCTGGTTCACCTTTTGAACTCCCGAAGAGAATGATTAAGAGAGGTATAAACATCCCCCCGCTCCCCAAAGAATTGCCAGGACTAGTGGAATGCTGTCGCCATCATGCTCTTTGTCACACCACGGAGTTCCACATCTCAGACGAGGGCCCCCCACTTCCTGCATGGATCCAGGAACCCACAGGTGTGGGGGGCTGATGGGTGACTTGCCCACCTCCATGCTGGGAGTGCTCCTCCTTCGTTCAGCTGGACCGTCCCACCCCCCTGTAGCAGCCCTGGTGAAAGGCCACGTCCAGTGAGCTCATGAGTGTTTCCACCAGCGTGAGGCTGGGCGATGACCTCAGAGAAAATCTTAATAAACTCCCAAAGTTTAATTTTCATTTCTATGAGGTCGGTTATTTTGGACAAATATTATTTTAACTTCATAGTACAGATGTCAAATGATTCTGTACTTTTGTGCCTGCCTCCATTCCCCAAATGACTTGTGTGTGTGTGTGTGTGTGTGTTGTTGTTTTTATTTTTTGTGTGTGTGTTTTTGTTGTTGTTGTTTTGTTTGTTGTGTGTGTGTGTGTGTGTGTGTGTGTTTTGTAAATCTCGGTCTGCAGCTGGATGCAGTATTGAAAGCTGAAAGCTGAGCTGTGAGCCCTGAAAGGCGCAGGGCAACATGAATCTGAACCATAAGATAGCTTATGGGATGGATATAGGGATGCAAAGAAGAGGGGCCAGTGTACTTGCAATATGATGTGGGGACCCGTGGAATCCCGCTCAGATACAGAAGAAACAATTTCATTGAACCAAGCAAAATTCTAGAGGAGACTTAGGAACACTTTTAAAAATAATCTTGAAAATGTTAGGACTCCCTCTCCCCCTCCCCCTCTGCATAACACACACACATATGCTGCTCATCCCACAGGTGTCTAGTTATTCCCAAGTGTCTGTTACTCCCTTCTTTTTCTAAACTTGAAAGAGAGTGGAGGTGGGGTTCAGGGGACAGGGACATCAAGGAGCATGAAGACACTTAGACCCTGAGGGCGTCTGAGGAGGAGCAGTGGTCTCGGGGGACACAGACAAGAGCTCAAGCCACCACGACAAGACTGTCCCTTCACCGTTTTCCTCAGGATGCCCCTATCCAGAACTGAAGGGTCCTCTCTTTCCCCAAAGGCATTAGCTTCTGCTGGTTCTCCATAAGGAGAAGTTTGAGTTGAGGAATCTGTCCTTTCTGACGGGGGAACATGAGCAGACGTTCTAGTTCCTTGTGGATGTTTACAAATGTTTGCCCTCGGAGGTTGTCTTCGCTGACCCAGAATGAAGCTATTCACCCAGCGGGTGTCCTGTAGCTCAGGGCATGGCCAGTTGGCGTGATGCTCGGTTTTTGTCCTTACCCTCTGACAGACTGGGGTGGGGGGCTGTCTTCCCCTTCTGTTCGGCAGATCCTGAGCCACATGGTGATGGAGGAGCTGCTGCCCACTCTTCAGGCAGACCTGCTGCCCAAAATGAAGGGGAAGAAGAACGACAGGAAGCGGGCCTGGCTGGGGGTAAGTGATGGCCTTGCTCCGCCTCGGTGCTACTCCAATACACATTCCTGGCCCTTCTCTTCTTAGGCTACCTTTTCCTTGTTTAAAAAAGAGTTCCTTCCCTGGCATACAGACTCCCCCCTGGTCGAGTCTGCTCAGTCTCACTGCAGTGAGGACTGATCCGAGCGGACTGCAGCTTGGAGAGAAACATTCGAAGGAATGTGTGTGCCGTTTCGTTGACGTTGTGGTCCTCTGTGGTGATCCCTCCTCCCTGGACTTGACTCCCTCGGGCTCTTACTCACCACAGAGTCCTGATTTATTTATTTATGTATTTATTTATTTATTAAATACATTTGATTGATTTTGTACAGAGAGGAAGGGAGAGAGATAGAGAGCTAGAAACATCGATGAGAGAGAGTCATCAATCAGCTGCCTCTTGCACACCCCCTACTGGGGATATGCCCGCAACCAAGGTACATGCCCTTGACCGAAATCGAACCTGGGACCTTTCGGTCCCCAAGCTGACGATCTATCCATTGAGCCAAACCAGTCTCGGCCACAGAGCCCTGATTTAGGCGTTGATCCCTGTCGCAGCTCCTCGAGGAGGCCTACAACCTGGTGCAGCAGCAGGTGTCAGAGGGACTGAGCGCCTTGAAGGAGGAATGCAGAGCTCTGACCAAGGGCCTGGAAGGAACCATCCGTTCAGACATGGATCAGATTGTCAACTCCAAGAACTTCTTAACCGGGAAGATCAAAGGTCAGTGGAGACAATCCATGTTCGTACTGAGGAAATGGGCTGCGCAGAGAGGGTTGCATCACAGAGTTAGGAGTCATGGTTTCAGAGGAGAATTACGCTGAAGGGATGGGGAAGAAGGGATAAGGAGTGTAATAGGAGCCTGCTTAGAAGTGCTGCTCAGGGCCTGGCCCTCCGCATGGAAACTTCAGTGAAACCAGCGGGAGGAAACTCTGTGTCTTGTCTTGTGTGGGTGGGGGGAGGGTGGGAAGGGTGGGATGTGTATTCTGATACCGCCTGCACCTGCCCTGTGGTGGCACTTCTTGGCTTATGACCCATGTTTATGATCATTCTGAAGTTTCCATTACATGTATTCATTATATGTCTTCTCTCAAAGTTAATTGATAAAGAAATCATTATTCTCCTGGCAAACAAAGTTGCATTTGGATATCAAGCAAGTCATTTTTTATTTATTTTAAAAATATGTATATCTGTATTGATTTCATAGAAGAAGGGGGGAGAGATGGGGAGGGAGAGAGAGAGAGATCAATGATGAGAGAAAATCATTGATCAGCTACCTCCTCAACTGCCTCCTGCATGCCCCCTACTAGTGATAGAGTCCACAACCCAGGCATGTGCCCTGACCCGGAATCAAACCTTGACTTCCTGGTTCATAGGTTGTTCACTGGTGTGGACCACTGAGCCACACCAGCTGGGCACAAGTCATTTTTAGAAATTATAGATTGTTTTATATTTGAAACATGCCATTGAGGTGAAAGGTCTTTTTCCCCTAGTAATTCTATGACCTGCTTAATATTTTATATCCCAAATATGTATGAGTTATACATGATATTAATAGTATTGGTCATCTTAAATTTTCAGAAAAAAAGGGGCAGTATGACCCTCCATATCTCTGTGAACTAGTTCTGAGAATTGAAATAAGAATGTGACCATTATTGGCACATAATTGTCCTTGTAAGCAAGTTATGTGCCAATAAAAACTTAAGAAATAGACTTGAAGTTCTGTTTCTGCACATTAGGATGTGACCTTAGTCAAGCCGTCTAATATTTTCAGGCCTCTATTTTTCCATCTGTAAAATGGAGGATTGGCCATTCAGATGAGTGAGTACTTCCCTCTTTGGTTCAGTGATGCTATGACAAAGTCATGTGACTAGCTCCTTAGAGCTGGCGTTCTAGTCCATGGAGCGAATTGAGGCCTCTTCCAGCCCAGGGTTCCTTCACGGGGTTGCTGCTTCCAAACCTGGCCAACCATGAGCATCTCTTAGCCCTTAGCAACAACTACAAATAATAATAAGAAGAACACAGATCTCACTGGCCCAGCCAGACTTCCTAAAGCAGAATCGTTGCTATGTTCTTCCTCACCTAAATCAAAGGGCAGCATTTACCTCTGGGAAATGGGAGCATGGTTATATTTTTTCCATCCCTCTTTATTTTTAAAAAATATATATTTTTATTGATTTTAGAGAGGAAAGGGGGGAGAGAGATTGAAACATCAATAATGAGAGAGAATCACTGATCCGTTGCCTCCTGCACACCCCACACTGGGGATCGAGCCCACAACCCGGGCAAGTGCCCTCACCGGGAATCAACTGTGACCCCTGGTTCATAGGCCGACGCTCAACCACTGAGCCACGCCGGCTGGGTTCCCATCCCTCTTACTGATTTTCTGTGCTTTCTACATTTTTGTCACTGCGCATGTCCTTGATTATCAGAACAAAAAAATAATGCTTTTTTTAAAAAAAAAATCGGGGGTGGGAATGGGATGTGGGGGTGACAAACTGAAAGGAATCTGCTTCCATTTGCCCAAGAAATGACTGTACTTGAGTTTTTAAAAGTCTCTGGAGAAGGCAAGAGGGGGAATTGAATTATATTGATTGACTCTTAGAGAAATTAATTAAGACAATAAATTGTTATACACAAATAATCAATCGTTATGTTGTACAGCTGAAACTAATATAATGTTATGTGTCAATTATACCTCAATTTAAAAAATAAGCTTAATAAGTTTTGATTTTAGAAGGAAACTATGTACACAGGGGTGGGCAAAAGTAGGTACACAGCTGTGAGTACGAAAAACACACTTGTTTTTGTATAATTATTTACTCTTGTATTATATATTTTTTCCATGTGAACAACTGTACACTTACTTTTGCCCACCCCTGTATATAATGACAATGATTGACGGATGTCTGGCTTTTTTTTTTTTTTTTTAATATTACAGAGAGGAAGGGAGAGGGATAGAGAGTCAGAAACATCAATGAGAGAGAATCATGGACCAGCTGCCTCCTGCACCATCTCCCCCGCCCCTCCACTGGGGATGTGCCCACAACCAATGTGCATGCCCTTGACCAGAATTGAACCTGGGACCCTTCAGTCTGCAGACCAATGCTCTATCCACTGAGCCAAACCAGTTTCAGCTGTCTGGCATTTTTTTTGTATTAGACACTGCATGCTTATAGGGACCAAGCAGAAAAAGGCATTTCATCCCAGGGCAGAGAGGAAAGCTTGGGGAGGGGAGACATTCTGTCTGTTTCCATTTTCAATCCACCTACTGGTTTTCTATTCTGCTGAATGCTAGCTCGGGGTTGGCTGTGCTGGCCTGTCTTGCCCTTTGGGGTTGCCTTGGCTGCTCAGTGGCTCTGTGGGGCAGCTGCCCAGCCCTGGCCAGGCTCTGTTGCCTTTGCATCCACTTTTGCCCCAAGTCATGGTTTCCTGGCTGTCTCCTTCCGCAGTGATGGTGGCCCAGCCCGCGGAGAAAAGCTGTGCGGAGAGCGTGCAGCCATTCCTGGCGTCCATTCTGGAGGAGCTCATGGGGCCCGTGAGCTCAGGATTCAGTGAAGTGCGCTCCCTCTTTGAAAAGGAAGTGGACGAACTCAGCCAGAACTTCCAGACCAGCAAGGACAACGCCCAGCTAAAGGAGGTAGGAGGTGAAGCCCTGGAGTTCGGAGTGAATGGTCTGCCTGGGGCTGCCTCTTCCCCGGGGCTTTATCTGCATTCATCTCATCTTTTCTTCCTTCCCACCCTTCCTTCCTTCATTCATCTGCCCTTCCAGCCATTCATCTAGTCTGTCTTCCATTCATCCAACAACCCATCCATCCATCCATCCATCTACCAGATTTTCTTTATTGATGGTTTCAAGATGCAAAAATAACAATGGATCACCCATAGCCACCCAACCCTAGCCCACCCCTAGCTCCTAGACCACCTCCCCTCCCAACTCCCTGAATTAACTAATACAAGTAGCTCAGAATGCGTTTACACATACTTTTTCCTTGTTCATACATATGCATTTAGCATCATTTGTATAAATTTTTTGTTCATCGATTTGTTTGTTGCTAAAAATATGGTCCCTATATCAGCAGTAGCAACAGCAGCACATGGCTGTTAATACGCAAATTCTCAGGCCTTCACCAAACATCTACCAAGTCAGAAACTCTGGGCAGCGTGTTCTAGGTGACCTCCACAGGATCTGGTGCACCTTAAAGGGTGACAGTCGCTGACAGACATGACTTGTCAACTTGGTTTTACACTTGACACATGATGGACATCCCTACAAGTCAGTGGATAAGATCAGATATGTCTCTTCCTTTTCTTATGTCTCTGTGCATACATACACATCATTGTACATAAACAAGATCATTTTGTGTATATTTTGAGGTTTCGTATCGCAGCCTTATTTTTAAACTTGCCTTTGCTTTCCCATCCTCCTCCCACACCTCTCCCTTCCCCTCAAGTAAATAGTGTCAACACTTTATTATGTGCCATTCTGAATTTTCCCATGTTTATATAGCATACTAGAGGCCTGGTGCATGAAATTCAGAGGAGGTGGGGGGGAATCCCTCAGCCCGGCCTGCGCTCTCTCTTAGTCCAGGAGCCCCATGACTGATTGCCCTTCAGAGGAAGGCTCCGCCTGCCCACCTATCGCAGCCCACCAGCCCGTGGCCTGGGCCTCCCTCTGTGGTTGATTGTGGGGCTATTGCAGTCTCCCCATCCCCCAATCTTATCAGCACCCTCCCTGGCTGGCTTGGCCCCAGTGCGAGTCATAGCGGGGTAGATCTGCTGTTCAGCTGTTCAGTTGATTTGCATATTATGCCTTTATTAATATAGACAACACACACACATTCATAGGCTATTTGTTTAGACTGCTTCGTCTTAGAAAAATGGGATTATGCTATATAGACTGCTTATCAGTATTCTCATTCAAAAATGCCTCAAGAAACTATTTCCAAGTTAAGTGTTCTAGCTCTAAGTCATTCATTATAATGGCTGCATAATATGTCATGCATGATTTATTCAACCATCCAGATGTTGCTGGCATGGAGCAGAGCTATGATAAATAACCTTATTAACATAGTCTTACATGTTGATGCTTTTCATTTCTATGGGATAGATTCCTAGGACAGAATTTCTAGGTCGAAAGGTAGGTTCCTTCCTCATGTTAAGATGTTGCCATTTGTGTTCCCCCAAAGGGATTTAAAATCGACATTGCCACCCATTGTGTATGGCAAAGGGCTTTCTTCCTCACATTCCCATCAGAGATAGGTGTTACTACTTGTTTACACTTTCGCCAATCTGATAGGTCCTAGCAGCTAGGAGCAAAGTGGTGACCCCAGGAGCAAGCTAACCTACCCCCTGGTGGTCGAACGGTTCAACAAACAGTTAGGATATTAGGCTTTTGTCATAGAGGATGTGTGTAATATTGTTCCTAAGTCTGAATGGGTTAATTTTTCCCCTTCGCCCAAATACAGCACCTGTACCGGCTTATGAGTCTCCCCCTGGATTCTGTGAAGATGGAACCTTGTTACATCAAAGTCAACCAGCTCGAGGAGCGCCTGCAGGATCTCAAGAGCCGCTTCCGATTCCCTCACGTGGACCTGGTGGTGCAGCAGACACAGAACTACATGCAAGAGGTGGGTGCCCACAGGGGTCTCCTGGGGAGGAGAAAGGAGCCAGCGGGGAAGCAAGCTCAGGCAGATGGGACTGGCTTGCTTGCAACCAGGAAGCGTGGCCATTGCCTTTGTCATCGTATCTGTCCTTCTAGCTGGCTTCATCTTCCCCCCATGTCATAGAGCAGAAACATCATGGAGTAGAACATCATGGAGTAGAAACATCCAGGGAAATAAAGCTGCACTAATTAATAATTAGTTGGTTTGTCAACCCCCTGGCAATGGGCACAGAGACACCTGATTGGTGGTGTTGCTCTTATATCAATCAGAGGCAAAGCAGACGTACAGTCCTTAGCTCATCCTAGCTTGATGCCTGTGTTGGTGGCCAGAGCTGTTTCATGCCTGAGGCACATTAAAAAAAAAATTACTTGGTTTGTCAAATCAGTGCTTCTAATGGTGGCTGCACATTAGAATGGCCTGGGGAGCTTTTAAGAAATACTGATTCCGGGACCAGTTTGGCTCAATGGATAGAGCGTCGGCTTGGGGACTGAAGGGTCCCAGGTTCGATTCTGATCAAGGGCATATCCCCAGTAGGGGGTGTGCAAGAAGCAGCTGATCGATGACTCTCTCTCATTGATGTTTCTAACTCTCTATCTCTCTCCCTTCCTCTCTGTATAAAATCAATAAAATATATTTTTTTTAAAAAAAGAAATACTGATGTCTAGGCCCCACCTCCAGTGGTTCTGATTATATATATTTTAAGTTGTTTTCTAATTATTGAAGGTGTATCAATCTATAATTAAATAATTTTTAAATTTTTAATATTTTAGAATAATGTTTAAAATAATTTAATAATTTTTAAACATACATTTTTATTGATTTTTAGAGAGGGAGAGAGAGAGAAAGAGAAACATCAATGTGAGAGAGAAACATGGAAGCTGCCTCCTGCATGCCCCCTACTGAGGAGGAAGCCTGCAGCCTGGGCATGTAGTCCCGACAGGGAATTGAACCAGCAACCTTTCGGTGCATGGGACGACACCCAACCAACTGAGCCAAACTGGCCAGGGCTATATTTTAATAATTTTTACATTTCTAATATGTGTCCAGAATTGAGATCCACTGGCTTCAATGAATCCCCTAACCTAGAGTCAATCAGTCACTCATAGCTTCCTATTCGGATGCCTTGTGTTTATTTGGTCGGTTCCTCGTTTCCCTATGAGGAACAGGGATGAATAGCACAGACTCTTTCCATAGGATAGTGATTCATCACTAAAGAGAAGGTGTGCTCATTGAAGCCGTAAGAGCACAGTCCTCTTTTACAGATTTTTCCAGGGCAGCTTACGGGGCTGAACACTGTGCCAGATCCCGCTTTAGGGAACTGATAGGGAGACAGGGTCTTAGATAAATCCACTACCATGTTGAGAATGCACCGAGAAAGAAAGATATGTGTTGAATGCCCTGGGAATTACAGGCTTGGAAAAGAAAGGAGCTTTTTATTTTATTTTTTTCCTTGAAAGTTATAGGCAGGATTAAGTGACACATCTTATTACCTAACCTCTGCGTTGTGAGGAATTAAAAATGGACAAGGAACAAAATTGGGCAATCATTTGACAGAGTCTCTGTGATCATACCGAACCTGGGTGGAGCTTACAGGGGCACGAGTGCAGAGAATACGAAATCTGAGCTGCTTCTGTTTCCCAACCTGTTATCCGAGCGGGACCTATAAATACATCAAACGTAAACAATATCGGGAATGGGTAGGACGTATGAATACATCCTGGAAATATATGTTGCGCCCTGAGAGGGACGGTATATATTTTTTGTAATCCTTATAATTGTTTGTAAAATTTATAATTTTTTAATTTGATGTTTCCATTTTTTTGTTGGTATTCTTTTCTATTTTTTTTTGTAATTTTGTATTTTCCTTTGTGTTTTATATATAAATAAATGAAAATATATATATATATCATTTATTTTAATTAAGTATAAATAAAAAAATAATAATAATATGAAGTTACATCCTCCGGGCGTGACGTACTGTCACGTCCTAGTGAAAGAGTACGCTCCCATTACAGGTTGCATAATTAAAAAGCGAACTCCCCGGTTAACAGGCTAACCCGTAACCGTGTCAGCCACTGTCTGCCCCTGTCTGCCCCACGCCCTCACCCCACCTCCCTTCCCATCCTGGCGGAGGTGTGAGGAGATGGATGGGAGGTGGAGAGAGAGAGAGAGACGCTGGGTAGCTTACATCCACCTGAAAGTGTATGTGCAGAGTAGAAGCAGCCAAAAATAATTGGAGGTGACTCCCACCTTGTCTTGGTTCGCCCGGGCTGCAGGTGTCAGAGGTTAGCAGAAGGGAGTGACCACTGGAGATGGAGGTAATTTTAATCCCATAGCCTTGGAGTTTCCAGTTCAGGGTAGAAAGAGATGAGAAGAAAGGATGCATACATGTATATAGATAAATGCCAGTGTGTGTGTGTGCGTGTGTGTGTGTGTGTTTCCCAGTCTCTTACTGATCCCACCGTGGCCATGTGCCTATGTATGTCACAGTTCAGACAGTGGGGTGAGGACTCACCCCTGGAAAATCTGGAAAATAAGAGATGGTCACCCCCTCCCTCCTCTCCCGCTGACTTAGGCAGACCCGTGGTGGTGCCCCGCCTCTAACCGTGCTGTTTCTGTGTTGTGTTGGTTTCTAGCTCATGGAGAACGCCGTATTCACTTTTGAGCAATTGCTTTCCCCACATCTCCAAGGAGAGGCCTCCAAAACGGCCATTGCCATTGAGAAGGTGAAGCTCCGAGTCTTAAAGGTAAAACCACTTTTTCATGTGGGAAGCATGCAGCAGGACTGTGGCCCCCGTTTCTCTTTAAATGGAAAACGCCAACTTCTTTTACTCGCCCCCTTCTCTCTCTCATCTTTCGCATTTTTGCTGCTTGAGGTTCCAGTGACTGTTAGGTACCAGCAGTTCCCGCAGCATGACTTTCATGCCTCTCCTGCCATCTAGTGGCTATTTTAGAGATCACAGGTCCTCACCGTTGTTGCCCATCTGTCTGAGTTTACTTTTAAAGCAATTGGACTTGATATTTATTGCCTGTCCACTATAAGCAAAACATTGTGATGGGTATTGCATGGAATATAAAACTATTTAAATGTAAATAGTTTACATTTACATTAGCCAGCATATTTTAGGAAAATTGGCACCTCATGGCAAAGGGAATATACTCCAAGAAAAAGATACCAGCGAGAGCGAGCAAGAGAGAGAGAGAGAGCGAGCGAGCGAGAGAGAGCGAGAGCGAGAGCAAGAGAGAGAGCGAGAGAAAGAGAGAGAGAGAGCGAGAGCGAGAGCGAGAGCGAGAGAGAGAGAGAGAGAGAGAGAGATTGGCACATCAAATTGTTCCATTTTAATGTGTTTAATGTTTAAGTATGTATCAAAATAATTGTAATAATAGTTTACATATGTGTACTATATTTTTAAAGCTTGTTTGAACCGATCATGTTTCATTTTGATCTTTACTAGAACCTATGAGATAATTAGAATATGTTCCCATTGTAGAGATGAGGAAACTGACTCTCTAAGAGCTCACATGACTTACTTAAGCTCAACAGGCTAGTCCAGGGTGACCCTAGAGCTTACATTATCCTTAGAACTGATGCATTGGTTTTTTACTTCCTCCTTCCCCTGCACCAGTGATTTTCAACAGGTGAGCCACAAGAATTTTTCAAGCATGCAATACCTGACCATTTAATCTGGAGCACTGATCTCTTTTCCCTGAAACTATCAAATAAGAAAATGACAACAACCAACATAACAGCCATCTGGCATGAATCAATCAGTTATATCTATTTTCAGATCAGCAAAAATATATACTTTTTGGCGTGCCATAGAATTTTAGTAATTTGTTTATGTGTGCCACGAGACGAAAAAAAGTTGAAATTGGCCGGGACCGGTTTGGCTCAGTGGATAGAGTGTCGGCCTGAGGACTGAAAGGTCCCGGGTTCGATTCCAGGCAAGGGCATGTACGTTGGCTGTGGGCACATTCCCAGTAGGGGGTGTGCAAGAGGCAGCTGATCGATGATTCTCTCTCATTGATGTTTCTAACTCTCTATCCCTCTCTCTTCCTCTCTGTGAAAAATCAATAAAATATATATTTTTTTAAAAAACTTAAAAAAAAAAATTGGAATTGTTGCCCTAAACAGTGCGTGGAGCAGCAAAGCAAAGTTCCTCAGGGCCTGGGAGAGGTCCCTGAATTTCAGACCAGATGTTGAGGTGTCACAGGCAGTAGTCAACTCTGGCAACCAAATTATCGGAACACAAATAATAATGAACTTGAAGTTGAGAAAGAAGAGCTATCGATGTCATTATCATATCACCTCCAGTGTCAGGACACGTTATACCTCTCCGCACAGCCCCTTCCTTCTCTGGACGCGCTTCATGGCAAGAACATGCTTCCTGATAGAAAGCCAAAGTTCTCAGCGGCTGTTCACCTAGTTCTACCCTCTTTGCCAAGTTCCTTCTTCCACCTGGTTGCCTTCCCTTGTTTGACTAGAGCTGTCATTTGCCTCGAGTCACTGCCTCTGGTATAAATGCCTTCCTCTCCTCCACCATTCTTCCTTTGGCCTGGCCATTCTGCTCACATGCCTGCAACTATTATGCTCCAGTTTCGCCTGTGATCCCCTGAAAGTGGCATCTAAAACCAAGCTCCGGTCTCTCGGCTTGGATGATCCATGCCGCGCAACGTGAATCATCACCTTCCTTATTCTAGATTATTCTAAACTTCTCTGGCTAACACGCCACGGTGTTAGTGTGGCTGTGAGCCAGGTTCTCTCTTCCCTTGCGGAAACCGATACAACCCACAAATCCTGCTTTCAGGATGTGGAATGAAACAAGTAGATGACTGTCACTCCCAAGGACCCACCCAGGATAGGGGCGACGAAACACAAATCCACCCCACCCTGGTTCTATCCCCAACTCCTCTCTACGGCAGGAGTTGCTGTTTTGATCTTGCCTCGGTTTCCATATCTGTAAGGGGGGGCGGCAAGGTGGGTCATTATCAGTCAAGACCTCCACCTGGAGTGTGAGAGAAGGTCTCTGAGACCTTGGGAATGCCACCAGGGTCCTTAGAACGTAGGGGAAAGGGAGAAGGAGATGAAGTGGGAGGCTGAGGTTTCTGTTGAAGGGAACGCTAACAGATTGCCGCGTTGCTGTTGAGCATATGTTTCTCTCTGTGTATCGACAGCAATACGATTATGACAGCAGCACCATCCGGAAGAGGATATTTCAAGAAGCCCTCGTTCAGATCACCCTTCCCACCGTGCAGAAGGCCCTGGCGTCCACCTGCAAACCGGTGAGGGCCGGGTTCCTCTGCAGAGCCTGCTCTCATTGCCTGGGAAGTTCAAGCACAGCTCGTGTATTTACTCATGTATTTTGGCCCTGGTGTGCTTGCACATGTAGGAGAGGTTGGCAAACGTTTCCTGTCAGTGGTCCAATGGTGAATACGTTGGGTTTCACGGGCCATACGGTTTTTGTTGCAACTACCCAGCTCTGCCCCAACGCAGCCACAGACTCGACGTAGACAAATGGGCACATCTGGGTTTCAGCATAACTTAATCTTGCAAAACCCAGCAGCCCTGAACCAGACAAAAGTCTCAAAGGGTAACAATCTGAGTTTGAGCCAAGCTAAGGGTTTGCTTAGAACACCTGAGAATACCGGATGTCCCTCATTATAGAAGGACTCCCAGGTCCAACGTGTCCTCTGGAACGTGGCCACTCCCACCGGGAAAAGATCCGAAGTAACATGATTGATTACAGGAGGATATTTGCTCTGTTGAATCCAGTAAGGTTTGTTTAGTGAAATCCGTGAAATAAATCACGTAAAGCTGTTGGGAGCCCCAGGCAACCAGTTGACAGCCATGACGGTGAAATGTGATGTAGTCCGCAGAGCAGAGTAATGGGAGAGCCGGCTCTGGAAGCTGTGGCAAGACCTGGGTTCAAGTCCTGGCTCATCCAGGTATCGGCTCTCGAGCCTTTTTCTCTCTCTTGGCCAAGATTTTCTCTTATAAAAAAACGGAGCTAGCAATATCTTGCAGTAGTCTTCTTAAGACTGAGAAGACTTCCCCAGCCAGTGTGGCTCAGTGGTTGAGCATCAACATCTGAGCCAGAGGACTCAGAGGTTCTATTTCCTGTCAGGGCACATGCCCAGGTTACAGGCTCCATCTCCAGTGGGGGGCGAGAAGGAGGGAGTCAGTTGATGATGCTCTCTCATCACTGATGTTTCGAACGCTCTCTCTTCCTCTCTGAAATCAATGAAAAACTACGTTTTTTAAAATAAAAATACATTTGGAAAAAGATTGGACTGGCATGAGGCAATTCACATTTGATGAGGGCTTACCACGTGTGCAAGGCCTTTTGCACGGATCAGCTCAGTGATTCCTAGGACAGCCCTCTGAGGAGGTGCTATGTATGTGCTGGCTGTAGCGGTGAGGAGGCCCCACATCACACAGCTGGCCACCCGCAGAGTCTGCGACCCAGCTCACACTCCACGGTCCAGTGGTCGGCAAACGCATGAGTCCACAGAGCCAAAGGTCAACAGTACAACGACTGAAATTTCTTTTGAGAGCCAAATTTTTTTTTTAACTTCAACTTCTTCTAACGCCACTTCTTCAAAATAGACTTACCCAGGCCGTGGTATTTTGTGGAAGCGCCACACTCAAGGGGCCAAAGAGCCACGTGTGGCTCCCAATCCGCAGTTTGCTGACCACGGCCCTGGTCGCATGTGATGCCCTGGGAAGATGGGAAATGCTCCCATCACTACCTGGCCGTTTCAGAAATTATCTATGAGCCTGGACATCGTCAAGGCCTGCTGCCTCTGGGAGCAGATGATAGAGAGCCTTTGGCATTTAAAAGGGACCTTTTGGAGGCTCAGCGAGCCTCCAAGCATTGGACCGTTAGACCCCCTTCCCATGAGTTATTTGGCTGCAGCAATTTCCTCAGTCATTTTTATATTCTCTACCTGCTGTTTTTCTTCAGTGTCATCAGCATGTCTAGCCCCTGGCATCCCCTTCGTCCACAGAAAGGGGTTTGCTGAGGAATGAAGCATCTGTCCGGTGACTGCCCCTCGGCCCACGTGGGCGGGAAGAGCAGCCGCCCACAGGGTGACTCAGTCCACCCGTGGGTGTGTCTGCGCACAGACTTCCTGCTTGGGGGCTTTCCTTTTCTAATCCCAAAGGCGGTCTGGGGGCCTCGGAGCCTCCAGGAAAGGTGAAAGGTGGAGGGTAAGGCAAATCTCCCTTCCATCTGCCCCCCTCTGTCCATCCACCCATCAACCCAGTGGGACCCAAGTTGTAACAGGCTCTTGTGATTGTCAATCCAGAGAAACTGGTTTCCAAAGAACCTGTCACCCGCGGCTTTCCGTGATGAAGGATATGGTATCAGTGCGGAGAGATTTTTTTTTAAAAATCTGGATTTGCAAAGCAGATACATCAGGGAGTGTCAGCTTCAAAGAGGAATTCTTTATCTTAGTAACGTGTTTCCTTTGGCTCTTGAAGTCGAGGCCCCCCACCTCTGTCGAAAGAACGTCAAGACGCATGTTGGGACGGCCTGGGAAGCTTTAAAAAAGTGGCTGGTTCCCCACGTCCCACCTGCAGGGGTTCCATCTGATTGACTCAGGGAAGTAAACGGATGTCACAGTTCAATCTACTTAATAGGGAAGAGCTCATCCAGTCCCTGTTTTGTAAGGCTGGACACGTCATGGCAGATTGTCGTGACAGTATAACTGTTCCTTTCCACAGAATTATTTAGCTCGTTGAAAATTTAAAGGTCTCCTCTTTATCCAGCAGACATGTATTAAATATGAATCAGATATGATCCGGGCATGGTCCAGGCCAGCATCCCTGCTGTCCGGAGGTTCATAGCCCACAGGCAGGAGGCAGACACACAGTATGCCGTATGATGGGCACAGCAGTAGCCTCATGGGAAGAGTTCCTCATGGCTGGGGTTCCGAGGAGGTTACCCTACTTTGCTTGTGGGGTCAAGGAGGGCTGCAGAGTCCTGCTTTTTTTCACAGAGGAAGAGAGAGGTGCAGAGCAGTGATGATGCTTGCCCAGGATCCCTCAGCCAGTCCAGGGCAGCGTCCAGGCTCCTGAGTAATGGTCCTGCTATCCATTGTCTGTATGTCTCACAGACCCTTGTGGAGTCATGGAAGCTCCTGTCTCTCAATCCATTGTCTTTCCTCTGGGGTACATATACAGAGACCCCATGAGAACCCGCTATGAGCCGGTCCTGGGCTACTCCAGACCCCCAAGTCCTAGCATCGAGAGCTGTCTGAATGTGGTGACTCCTGACCACCTGCCCCTGAGGCAAAAGATGTCGAATCCCACTCGTAGTCTCTGGCTCTCCAAAGCCACACGTGGGGAGCCCTTGTCCAGCACCACTGGGTGCAAGGATCTGAGTTAATCACTGGGATGCAATTGGTGCTCTTTGATCCCTGCTCTGTCCTCAAGCTGGTAGCAGGCAAGCCATCTGGAGACCCTTGGGAAGCAGAAGGGTTCGAGGACTTTGCGTCCTGCCTGGGTTGTCTCATGGGAATAGGTGAGTGTCAGGCCAGGGAGGGAGAGCGGAGCCTTCACCTGAGATCCCAACAATCTGAAAAGGGGCTCCATTCTAATGAGGTTAACACACATTTACCCCAGGACCCGCAGTCTCACTTCCAAGGTGAGTAGGTCCTTAAATCTCCAAATTCCCGCACGAGAATATTCACAGCATTTATAGTCCTCACAGTCAAAAATTGGGAGGAAAACCTCAGTATCCATCAACAATAGTATGGATAAACCATTTTAGTTTATTCATATGATGAATGTCCTATCAATAAGTATCCACAAGAGGGAACAAGCTACAGATACATGCAGCAAAATGGATGAATCTCAAACAAACCCAAAAGAATGGACAGTTCCACTCCCATGAAGTTCAAGGGCAAGAAGAACTAAGTTTAAGAACAAAAAGAACTGAGCTCTTGTGATAGATATCAGAGTAGTGCTTATCTCTGGAGGATTAGACGAGGATAGGGCATGGGAGTGATCTTCTCTGTCTTGATTTGGCTTATGATTTCATCTTTTTAAAATAATTGAGCTGTACATTTTTTAAAATATGTTTTTTATTGATTTCAGAGAGGAAGGGTGAGGGAGAGAAAGATAGAAACATCAATGATGAGAGAGAATCACTGATTGGCTGCCTCCTGCATGCCCCTACTAAAAATTGAGTCCGCAACATAGGCATGTACCCTTGATCAGAATCGAACCCAGGACCCTTCAGTCCACAGGCTGATGCTCTATCCACTGAGCCTAACCGGGTAGGACTGAACTGTTCTTTTAAAATGTTTGCATTGTATTGTGTGCAGCATATACCTTGGAAAGTACTGTTGGTATATTATTTAAAAAGGAAGAACAAAATACTTTGGTTATGAAAAAAAGGAGGGCCCCAGACTCAGTGACACCCCTTGAGATGATCAAATCTCTGGGTCTTCCCACTGTGTGCATAAGGAGTGGCACCACAGGGGATTGGTAGTGGGACACGTTTTTTGTTGTTGTTGTGAATCCTCACTCTAAGATATTTTTTCCATTGATTCTTAGAATGGAAGAATGGGGAGAGAGAGAGAGAGACATGGGTATGAAAGCCATGTCTCCTCCATGAACTGGCATCTCATGCCTTGCCCTCTGTCTCTTGCTCTCTAGGAACTTCAGAAATATGAACAGTTCATCTTCGCTGATCACACCAACATGATCCACGTGGAGAACGTGTACGAGGAGATTTTACATCAGATGCTCCTTGATGAAACCCTGAAAGGTGAGGGAGGTTCACCTGATGCCAGAGGGAACTCTGGAGAGAGGGGAGCACCCCAGAAAGGAGGCCCAGTATGGCCAGCTTGGTTTGCTCACAGGTTTGAAAAGGGAAGGGGAAATTGATGTTGCTGGGGAGACAGAAAAGGGACACTCACCCTGACTGAGCAAGCACACACTATACCAGCCCATTAGATATATATAATAAATACCAGTCTTTCTCTGTTGTTACAAATAAGAACTCTGTGAGATGGACATCTTGAACTTCGTTTTCGGATTAGAAAACTGAGGTTGAGAGAGATTAAACTTATGAACAGCTGTCTTCTTCCAGCTGTTCCAGACAGAACAAAGGAAAAAGGGCTCCTCTTAGTCACAGGCTCGGGACCCCGCCCAGAGCGGGAGGAGGTGATCCCAGGAGCAGTTACTCTCCCAGCACATTCCTCACCTCCTCTTAGCGGGGCAGAAAAAGACACAGGGTGATGGCACAGCATGCTGGGAGGCTTACCAGGACTCCAGTGCCCACTGTGGAGGCAGGCCTTGCTCAGGACAGGAGTGTGGCTAGGAAAACTTTGATGGAGGGACACCCATTAAACTGTAGGCCCAAAACAACATCTGATCTCCATGGGGAGGAAGTTAAGCATCGCAAAACCTCTCCACAAAGAACGCTGGCCAAGCACAGGCCCCGGGTCAGGTCGCAGTAGCCCCTCGCAGGGGATCGAATGAGATAGAAATGTAAAGGGAAGGACTCGCTGGGAAGGGCACAGTCAAGGCCACTGCCAGCCCACTCTGGCACCTAGGGGTGAGTTAGAAAAAGGCTTCCTTCCACCAAAACCGGTTTGGCTCAGTGGATAGAGCATCGGTCTGTGGACTGAAAGGTCCAAAGTTCGATTCCGGTCAAGGGCATGTACCTTGGTTGCAGGGACATCCCCAGTAGGGGGTGTGCAGGAGGCAGCTGATCGATATTTCTTTCTCATCGATGTTTCTAACTCTATCCCTCTCTCTTCCTCTCTGTAAAAAATCAATAAAATATATTTTAAAAAAAGAAAAGAAAAGGCTACCTTCCCCTAAAACCTATATATTTTTATTAACCAATGTTACCCCCAATAATTTCGATAAAAAACACACACAAATTGGTAATTACAAAATAGTCACAGGGATGTAAAGTACAGCATAGGAAAAGATAGTCAACTAGAAGACTGAGGCATAAAGACTTGTGCCAGAATGGGCCTTCCTTTCCCTGACTGCTGGCACCGCTTTCCCTCTGGTCTGGAGTCACCTTTCTATCTTCCTATGCTGCTCAGAGGCCCAGAGAGGCCACATATGCACATTAACCGCCATCTTTGTTGGTTACTCACTCCTGATTGGTTGTGGGCAGCATGTTTATCCATTATTAGGTAATATAATATTGTAATAACTATATATGGGGCTAGGTGAGTGCTAGAAATATTAGGGCTTATGTCTAAGCTCTATTCTGTATACCTAAAACAAATACAAAATAATACTGAATGTAAACTATAATTGAAAAATAAAATTTCAATTATGGAAAAGAACTAATTTGTCTAAGCTAGGAAGGAAAATGGTAACAACAGCAATAAAGTAAGTGCGTGTTTACAAAAAGAAAAGAGAAAGGCTCCAGACCCTTGCCTGTTCTCTGTCCAAATATTGCCATGATAGGGTGATTTTATGAGAGCAGGACACTCTCCTGCTAGCTGCTGGGAAATTATGCTGGCTACGCTGGCCTACGCTGTCTCTCATGCCAGCGGCTCCCGCTTGGAGGCGACACTGTCGGGCACTGCACAGCCTGCACAGCCATAAGCAAAGGCCTAGGGTCACAAATGCCCGCTGCTGTCCTCATCATGTGCTTCCTCCTCGGAGGCCTCTGAGACAGAGCTGGGTGGGCAGAGCCTCCTTTTGGAATGCCTGGTTAGTTTTGCCTTAGCATCTTAGATGCAAGCATTTTGCCTCAAACATTTTTTTCCCCTCATAACTAATTGGCTGAAAGGCAATGTTGTCATTAAAAAAAGATAAAATTATGACAAATAAAAGAGGTACATTAAAACTGAATCACCAAATTAGAAAGACTTCATTGCAAAATACAAAATATTTGGATTCATTACAAATGTGCATAGATTCACGGCAATCCTGCACAAATAGCTGATTTTGTTTTGTAGATTGTACACAAGGTCTGGTCTTGGTTCTACAGGAAATGTGGGCTCAATTCTGTGTCCTCAGAGGCCCTTGGTGCCTCTCTTTCCCCAGTTTAGAGTTTCAAGATGAGCAACCAGCTAGCTCTTGGGGCAAGAATCATCACCACCCGGAAAAAATGCTAACTATTTTAAGACCACCACTATTCATTTTCTCCACTTCTTTGTCAATGGAGAAATGAAACCAAACGGACAAAAAATAAAAACAGAGCAACACAAAAACCCACACTGTCAATCAGTTTTTTTATCTTTTATTTTTTTTTTAACAGCAAAACTGCCTTACAGCCATTTAGTTATGCATCAACAATGTTTTCGTTAAAAATGCCTGTGGCAACAGGCTGCAGTGTCAGTGATTGAGTGTAGACCTGTGAACCAGGAGATCACAGTTCGATTCCTGGTCAGGACACATGCTGGGTTGTGTGCTCGATCCCCAGTAGGGGGCATGCATGAGGCAGCCGATCAATGATTCTCCCTCATCGTTGATGTTTCTATCTCTCCCTCTCCCTTCCTCTCCGAAATCAATACTATATATAGTATATATATAGTATATATAGTATATATAGTATATATACTATATATACTATATATACTATATATAGTATAATATATACTATATATCCATATATATTAATATATTAATGTATTGTATTTGATTTTTTACAGAGAGGAAGAGAGAGGGATAGAGAGTTAGAAACATGAACGAGAGAGAAACATCGATCAGCTGCCTGTGCCTGCAACCAAGGTACATGCCCTTGACCGGAATCGAACCTGGGACCTTTCAGTCTACAGGCCGACGCTCTAGCCACTGAGCCAAACCGGTTAGGACAGGAGTTTGGCTTTTGGTAAATAAATAAATAAATAAATAAATAAAATCAAGAAAAGCCGATTGGCCAGGGCAGGGCGCTCACGTCCTGTTGTTTTGTGTTCTGGTGTCTCAGTGATAAAGGAAGCTGCCATCCTGAAGAAACACAACCTGTTTGAAGACAACGTGGCCTTGCCCAGTGAGAGCGTGTCCAGCCTGACCGACCTCAAGACCCCCGTGGGCTCCAACCAGGCCAGCCCTGCCCGGAGGGCCTCGGCCGTCCTGCTGGGAGCTGCCCACGGTGAGGCCCCGAGTAACGACGTGTTCCCGGAGCCCGAGGAGAAGCAGCAGCCGGGGGCCCCTGGCCCGCCGGCCCCTGGAGAAAGCCTTTCCCTCCCGGGTGGGGATGCGCAGGAGGTTCCTGCAGGCCCGGGGGACCCTGTCGTGAGCCCCGCGGCCGCAGGCGCCCGGGGCTCCCACGCATCGGAGCTGGGGTTTGCAGCGGGGCCTCCTGCGGACGGAGAAGCCGCCGCCCCCCAGGAGCCGCCATCCATCTCTGCCTCGTGCTCCCTGCAGGAGCTCAGAAATCTGTTGACCGTGACCGTCGAAGTACCCGTGGTGCCTGCCACCCTCGAGACTGAAAAAGATGCACATCAGGAGACCCTTGTTCCCCAGGAAATGGAAAAAGAGGAGGAAACGACCCAAATCCACACGGAGGCCGCTCCAGCAGCCGCCTCCCGCCAGGACGCGGGTGAAGACGGTGGAGTCAGGGAGAAGGAGGCCCATGCTCCAGCTGTCGAGGCAGAGGCCGAGGCCGAGGCAGGGGCCGGTGGGGTGGAGTCAGGGGGATGTGCAGAGGCTCAGCGTGCAGGTGCCAGCGTCCCAGGCCCCACAGAGGAGCAGGCAGAGGCCGGGGAGCCCACTGGGAGGGACGCCCATGAAGGAGGTAAGGCCGTGCCACAGGGAGGCTGCATTTTAAATTCTGACCCCATGGGCCCCGGGGAGAGCCAGGGCTCCGTGGAAGAAGCGGCGGGAGGGAACGGTGGCCAGGCCCAGGCTGCTGAGGAGGTTAAGGGTCCCCGTGTGTACGAGTGTCAGTGGGTGGTGGAGGATGCGCCAGACACCCACATCCTAGGTCCACAGAAGGAGGATGCGAGGGAGAGTCCCCCAGAGCAGCCCTTGGAGGAGTGAAAGGGACCATTTGGCAAAAGTGTCTCTGAGAGCAAACCCAGCCAATGGGTTCATTATGGGTACACTTAGGGGTGCATGGGACTGTTAAAAAATATATATATATTACGTACTTCCTTAACTTGTAGAATGAAATCAGAGGGGCTGCACACGGGGCGTGAGCACGGAGGCAAGCCCTGTGGGACTGAGCTGCTCTGCCATGAGTGACTGCTTTAGCATTTTCATAGGAATCATCAAGGTCTTGGGGTGAGTGGGGTGAGAGGCAGCGAGGGTGCCCCGGGGAGGGAGTGGGGACAGAGAAAAGAGCAGGAGCATGGTTTTCAACACACTCTGCCATTTCTTCTAATGCACGTTAAGGCGTTTCCACTCTTTGTAAGAATGCAAATCGATGCTGTAACCCCCACTTCACCGTCTCCTATATGGACTTCACTGTCTCTTAAGGACGAGGCCTTTGCCCACAATCAGGCTGCAGGGAAGGGTAGTGGAGGCACAGGCACCACAGTTGTAGGCAGCCCCACAGGGACTGAGAGCTCAGAGAAGCTGGGCAGAAGCAGGGGGAGGCTGTGGTCTGTGCAGCCGTCTGGGCCTGGTACTGAATCTGCTCTCAACGCCTTGTGAATTGATTCGTTAATTCTTATTCATTAATCACCTTTTGGGGAAACTCAGATGAAAATTTCCCTGGCATATTTTAAGCATTCCAAATTAGCCTTAAATTGTGCAGAGAAAGAACTTAGCTGAATTATTGGGCATAAAGTCTACCAATTAAACACATGTTATTGAAACAGATACTCTATGCCACATGCTGTGTTAGACATCATATGAGAGAGAGAGAGAGAGAGAGAGAGAGAGAGAGAGAGAGAGAGAAGAAGAAGAAGAAGAAGAAGAAGAAGAAGAAGAAGGAGGAGGAGGAGGAGGAGGAGGAGGAGGAGGAGGAGGAGGAGGAGGAGGAGGAGGAGGAGGAGGAGGGAGATAATGTGCCTTGTTCAGTAAACATTAAAAGGCCCAAGGGAATTTACTCTAAGACAACACCAATTTTCAAATAATATATTTTCTGTGATGGCATGAATGCTTCCTGTCTTTCCATTAAAACAGTCCTGCTTCATTACCAGAAGGAAATAAAATGAATATATGGGGGAAAATGAATAAGAAAGAAATGTGGAGGGAAATAGGAAGGGAGAGAGAAAGAAGAAGAGGGAGGGAGAGAGAAGAAGAAGAAGAAGAAGAAGAAGAAGAAGAAGAAGAAGAAGAAGAAGAAGAAGAAGAAGAAGAAGAAGAAGAAGAAAGCCAAGGTATATATACATGCCATCAAGTTCCGAAGATGTTACCAAAAGTAGAAACCACTTGCTCAGTCATTTAGCTGGTTGAGGCCGTTGCGACCCCGGGGCTGGAGATCGGCGGTTACAAAGATCCGTCCCTTTCTCCCAGAACTAACACTCTAGGAGGTGAGTGGGAAATAGACACAAAGACATGTTCTACATCAGTTGTGACCTGCCGTTTTAACGTTCAAGGTGGACTGGACCGGCTAAAGATTGAATAAAGGAGTGTCCTGTGGTCCTTCAGAAAACATCAGTTTATTTCCTGAAAGCCTCAGTCCTCATACCACACCTTCCTACTTCCTCCCACAAGTGTCCATATCAGACCCCAACATATGTCCCAAGAGCTCGTGTTGATCATCATCAGCTTATAAGCTTATATCAGTTCCTTAGAGGATGTGTCCCAGAGCTTGACCATGTAAGCAGCAATTCCAATACCTCCCTCTCCAGCTCTCCATGAAGAATTTCTTGGATGTCTAGGTGTTTAGGGATGAAAGAGGATCAGTATCAACATAGTTTCTCCTATGACAACGTTCTTTACGTGCTTAGACCCTCACGGCTAGGAAGGGTCTCCGTACAGATCCAGACGGTCCCTGGTCCTGGTAACGCCCAGCACTCGCTCATATCCTTGCAGTTAGCGTGGAATATGGAAGTTATGTCTCTTCCAGGGGCTCTTCCCTTCAAGGACAGAAACTAGGGCTGAGTCACCCTATGCTCAGCCTGGACTCCTGGCTCTCTGCCTCTGGCCGGGGGGCAGGCTGCTCGGGACATGTGAGCACCCGACACGCACAGCTCCTCTTGCTGGGGCTCTTTGGTGCTTGCTGACAGCCAGGGAGATTTTTTTAAAATTATTATTATTATTTTAATTGGACTTTCTGCCCTTGGGGAGTCTTTCCTTCCATCAAGTGCAAAGGGCAGATGGCCACCTGGTCAGATGCTCTGCCTGGCAAGGCAAGGAGCCAAAGGAGCAGCGCCTGGCCCTGCCAAGGATGGCCTTCACTCCAGGAGAATGGTGGCGAGGGAGGAGGCCACAGCCCAGGCCACCGCCATGCAGGAGCTTCCCGGCTTCCCCCCTTTTCTCTCGTCGGGGCTTCTCGAACCCTTGGAAGCAGAGTCCTTTTTCCAAGCCTTAGAGGAGGGCCCGCCTCACTGCATTGGATGGATGAGCACCAGTGCCCTGCCTTCCCTGTTCCGTGGGCCCTGTGGGACCGGGCACTGAGTGGGAGGATGCACTTGAGAACACGATCAAAGGACTTTTCTGGACACATTTCTCAAATGACAGATTCTCGGGACTCTGCAGGATGACTGTTCCATTTTTAGATGGAACCGGAAACCAAAGTGCATTTAAAATATTCTTTATTCACTGAAACACGCTGGGTGGAATAACTTCTGATGACCACGCATTTGTTGCTTTTCATTCGGACTTCTTTGTATTGCTCCAGTGGTTTGTGGATTGGAGCGAGGCCATCGTGATTTCTGTGAGCAGTAGGAGAGCTGCACTGGGGATCCCTTCAGGGGAAAATCTGCAGAAATGCATGAAACATGGGTTTTGGCAAAAATTCTGTAACTTGAAACGAGTTACGTTACTCTTGACCTTTCCCAAAGAAATAATATTTTTCTTTAAAAAAAAAAATTAGCTCATCATTTTCTCCTTTGCAGCTTGGAGCTGAGATAGTAGCTCGTTGCATTATGGAGAGTAAATTCTCTTTTTTTAAAAAAATTTTTGGGGGAACCACAGGGATAAGGTTCCAATTTGTCCAAAAGCTTTAGAAAGGGGCTGAGTGCGAAACACTGCAGGTAGGTCCTTAGGCTTGATCTTCTCCATTTGATTAAGAAGATTCTCAAGTCTGCTTCTGTAACCTCCAGGTTGCAGTCGGTGATTTCGAGGGGTTTCATAATTCTCTGAGACAGGTGTCTTTATTTCTTTACTAGAGACCCAGTGCACAAAAGTCATGCACTGGTAGGGTCTCTAGCGGCTGCCTGCTGTGGTCAGGGGCCTCCCTCTCTCCCCCCAGCCAGTCCTGCCCCAGACAATTTCCAATCAATTTGCATAATATGCTTTTATTATATAGGATAAGTGCTAAATGACATGTGCTACACAGCCATTTTAAATGGGGAAGGGAAAGACAACACTGACTAAATAATACCGTTTCACTCGGTAGAAAAAGTGGCTGCCTGCACCTTCCCTTTACCATAAGCAAACAGGGTTGGACTTTGCCTTCTGAAGCCTGCAACTTCAAGAAAAAACAAATCGACCCTGTGGATTGATTATTTTGTTTTATTTTGTTGTTTTGGGTCACTGTACAAAGCAAAAGAACTTGAAACACTTTGTAACCATGTATTTACTCTGCCAACTGTCCATATTCCAATAAAATGTCCATCCTTGGAGAGGAGTCCAGACGTCACCTTTGTTTGGATCGGGGCTGGTTTCGTCTTTTCAGCAAATGCCATGACTTGAGCTGGGAGGAGGAGCCCCTGGAGACGGAAGGTGAGTCCCTGGCCCTGTATGACGGAACTTTTATAATTTTCTGTCATCAGCAGAAATCCGCAGGGAAGTCGCTTCACGTCAGATGTAATTATTGCTGTGAGACTGCATATGCTTATTTCTCTAGGAATTAGATTATGTCTATATACAACGGGCAACTACTCTGGACGGAAGTAAACTGCTGTTCAAACACATTTATTTTCCGAGGGTAACCCTGAGGGAAACACATCCATTCTGTCTGTACTTGTGAGCAAAACAATGTCCACTCACCAATGTTGACAGTTAATCATTTGTCCATGAATCCACTTCTCCCTAAAAAGGATGATTGTGTGTCTATTCCATGCAGGCATTCCAGTGGGTGCTGGACAAACAGAGGTGAACATGGCGGGGGTGGCCGCTACACCTCAAATGTGCAGTGTGAACGTTGTGAGGGGGAGCCCCAAAAAGGTATTTGCTTCCTTGCCTGGCATGAACCTTGTCTGTAATCTCGGCTTTTATTCTGTCTACACCAACGGCTTCAGACAAGAGAGGGAGGAGCACTGGGGAAATCAAGTCCAGGGAGGGTGGGACCCTCGGTGTGGCATAAACCTCACCTCTCCTCTCCCCTTGCCACACCAAGCATCCGGGGGGCAGGAACCATGCTCAGAGCAGCTCCTCCACAGCTTTGATTGAGGGCTGATAGTCAGATTGGGACCGGAGGTGAGTGGGTTGATTTGAAACTACTTCAGCGTGGTTTTTCTCAGATTATATGTTTATGTGGGATGGGATTGATGGAGGTCTTGAGAGGAGCCAACTAAACCTGTATGTCTGTGTCTATAATTGACCTGTTAATCATTGTCAAAAACTAGAAAACAACCCGTATGTCCTGTGGTACATCCGTATGATAGATTACTACTCAACAAGAAAAAGGAATACATACAGGGTAACATGGATGAGTCTCAGAATAATTAGGCAGAGTGGAAAAGGCCAGACTCCCCCATGCCTACCCCCCCACCCACCCAAAAAAAGATGCCTACTATACTAGTATGCTTCCTTTTATATGACATTCTGGGAAAGGACAAATTTAAAGATAAAAACAGATCGCCAGTTGCCTGCAGCTGGGGGTCAGTAGTTGGGGGGATTGGTTGTGGAGCGGCATGTAAGGGAATTTTTGGGGGGTGAATTGTTCTAGATCTTGATGATGGTGGTTGCCCTGTGACTATGTG